ATATGGACAGGAACCCTGTGTGAAACAAACTTCTCCATGTCATCTGGGAGATTAAAGGGAAGTGGGGCTTGGAAGGAGAAAATGCACCCAGGAAGATCAAATACCTTGTCCAAGGACAACATAACCCACTAGAGGCAAAGCGGCATTAGAATAAACTTTCTGTGTTAATATAATTATTTCTTGTATGTCATTGATTTTTATTTCCTTGCTGCTTTATTTATTTATTTTCACTCTTAATATTATAAAGGAAGAATGGTTCAATCTGTCATTTTCTTGTACTATAGGAAGTTTGAGAAAATGAAGATATTGGGGAGCTTTAGTACGTGAGATAACACAAATGTATAAATGCAAATGAATTAAGTCCTAAATAAAGCCATGCAGATACAATTTTGCACTTTATGTATTTAAAATACGGGGAAGTGATATGATATAAAAACATCTGTATCTACATTTTTCTCAGCATTATTTCTTGATAGTTTATAATTAGCATTTTATGGCATCTGGGTTTTCTCAACCCTGTATGATACATTTATCAAATAAATTTTATTTAAATATATATATATGTATACATATATAGTTTCTGGGATGCATATACATTATAACAACACACATTAAGCATTTGTGCATATACAGCAATAGCCATAACAGCAAATCACTTCATACCTAAATGGCCATTGTTTCACTGTTCAGTTCTTTTTGGCTTTCTCCTTTTCGCTTGAATTATTATTATTTTTCCTATAAATTTTACAAGCTCACCAAGTGTTCATCTTTTAATACTTTCAGGATGATTACCATGAGTGAAGGATCATTACAGTTTAAGTAAGAGAAATAGTCCTCAAAGAAATTTTAAAAACTCATTTAGGTTGCCAGTTAAACCTACAACCAATTGGCAATGATTTATTAATTATGTATTCTTCCACAGAAACAGTAAATGTTACACTAAGGAACATTAGGATGAGATAATTATATGGTAGAAGAGATTAAAAAGTAATTTTACCTAATAAACAGTAAAGTTCCTCTATATATACTTCCTCTAAAATTTGCTGCAGGATGAGATAATAAGTATTGGTATTCAATACTTCTTGGTATTCAACCATGAAAATGGATAAAGTAGGCTGACTCTAAGGTGGGGCATGTATTCCTCTATGGACATGTAGAAAGATTGCATGACTTTTCTTTTTAATTGTATTGTCTGAAACTGATGACCACTCTGTACCTCCCATGAACTGGTGAAAAAAAAAAATAATCAAATTTACAACAGTCACAAAATGGATCACTTCCTTTCCAAGTCTGTATCTGAAGTAACAATAAATTCAAAATATAATAGGAGAAGAAAGATGAAACAAGTTAGAGAAATGTAACTCCTAAAATATGATAGTATACTAGGACAGACAGCATCAAGAACTTTAAGAACCCTGGTTTCAGATCTGTAATGTTTTTGGAATAATATTTTTGCGTGTGTGAACAGGCAGTTTCCTTGTTACATTATCAATAGACCAAGAATTTCAGGTCTGTACTGTAATCAAGAGCTCTCCTGGTGACTCCGTGGTAAAGAATCTGTCTGCCAATGCAGAAGACCTGGCTTTGATCCCTGAGTTGGGAAGATCCCCTGGAGAAGAAAATGACAACCCACTTCAGTATCCTTGCCTGGGAAATCCCATGACACAGAAGCCTGATGGGCTAGAGTCCATGGGGTCGTAAAAGAGTTGGACACAACTTAGCAACTAACAACAATAATTGTAAAGCAAACAAACATCACTATTCAATGGTAATTTAAAAAAACATACTGAATCTGGGTTCTATTAAGACAGCTAGTTATTCCTATTAACAGAACAGAAAATGGTAACTTGATTTTTCCAAATTCCATTTATCTGAGAAAAGATCTGTTTTTATCATTATTTTCACTTATGTACAACTTCTTTTCATTTTTTAAAAATTTAACAAAATAGGGTCTTTCCTGGTGGCTCAGTGGTGAAGAATGCCTGCCAATGCAGGAGACACTGGTTCCATCCCTGATCCCGGAAGATCCCATGTGCGGGCAGAGCAGCTAAGCTTGGGCGCCACTACTGAGTCTGTGCTCTAGAGCCTGCTAGGTCACGGGACCCCTCTGAGGCCTGCATGCCCTAGAGCAGGTCCTTTGCCACAAGAGAAGCTGCCACAATCGGAAACCTACGCACCACAAGCAGAGTAGCGCCTGCTCTCCGCAGCTAGAGGAAAGCCCTCACAGCAACAAAGTCCTGGCACAGCAATAAATAAAATAAATAAATAAAATTATTTTAAAAATTAAAAAATAATCTTAGTTCTGTACATTTAATCAGAACAGGACTACAACATTATACTCCTTACATTCTTACAATTTCATTAGCTCTATAGCTTAACTCCTGACTTTATGGGACTATAATTGTGTAATATATTGGAGTCAGATGAAAAGATTATTAAAAAGCAAACATTAACACATATTTACTGAAATGAAACAAATGGGAAATAGATTTGTGACTTGTACATAATCTTCTTGGGAAAGAAAAAATCATTGAGGTGTCCTAGGGTCACCATATTAAAAAATTTTGTTCTGGATTGTCCATATGTAGCTCTGTAACCTCAGGCATATCAATTAACCTTTCTGTCTGCATAGCTATAAAATAAAGGTAATTGTGTATGACCTAACTCCATAATCAAGCCACACACATTTACTAAACAACTTCTATGTGCCAGTGCCTTTGTGAAAGGATAAAAATATAAGATATTGCTGAAGAATTGAAAACTATCATGTGTGTGAAAGCACTTTGTCAAGGATAGTATATTAGACAAACAACTATGTTACACTATCAAAATTACAAATGCTTTCTAGAAAGGCCAGGAGCACCTAGCTGTCACCTCAAATGGGCAGAAGGATCTTTATTGTGGCAAATTTTATAAGCAGAACCTTGCTTTAGAAAAATAAAGTACAAGACAGTTATCAGGAAGAAAAAAGCAGAATATAAAATAAGTAACAGGTTTTTAACCAGGAAGGAGAAAGGACAGCAAGGCAAATGATAAAGCAATTACTTCTTTTAGAACTCTAAATTCACAAGGACTGATAGTCTGGGAATACCAAGAAAGTGTTAAAATTGCCTATCAGCTTAATATTCCCATGACAAAATAGGAAAATCGTAATGGAAAATTTCTCTTCAGTTAAGTAAAGAAAAGAAAAGGACATTTTAAAAATATCAACCTCACTACAAAGAGAGAATAGGAAAAATAAACTGTTACTATGCAATGTGAGACACCCATTGAGAACAGTATAAATAAAGATGACAATTTTGATAATAAGGTTTAGAGAGAGAGAGAGAGACCACAATAAGAACACAAACCTCTGTTTTGACAAAGCCTACAGTTAGTGAGATTTCAGATTCTAGACTTTCTGACTCTTCATCTTTCCAGAAATTTTACCACTGTTAGTTACAATGTCGAAAATAACATTGCATAACATTACTTGGCAGTTCCAGCAATACACTGGATTACAATGAAAACTAGAAATGCATAAGTCCCTTTAAGCAATATTCCCTCAGATTCCAGGGAGCGTGATACAAGGAGCAGGTGGGCTATGATATCAAAACAGCTCTGGGTGAGGATGCAACAAGCAGAGTAGATCTTCTCTTCTATTCTATGTTCACTATTGCCCCAAGTAAATGATTAATTCCACACGGAAGAATTCTTCAAAGGAGCGGAAACATTTAACATGGTTATGAGATTTTCAAAAGTTGTCCTATTTAACTGAAACATAACCATCCCTCACTTTATAGAAAAGATAGATTTCAGAAGAGGTGACCAAAGTGAATCCTTTTAAAATCATCAGCATCTTTTTAAGAGTCAGGGATTCATTTCCCAAGGGAAAAATAACCCTTCAGTTTAATAAGATGGTGAGTCAGTATTGCAGTATTATAAATACTCATTAAGACATGGGTCAATAATGCCCATTATCAATTCACATTGTCAGAATTTCTCTCATGACTAGTGACTGCCTAAAACATCATATCTGATACTTCTGAAACTTTATTCATATATTCTTTGCTTCCTTCCCCCAAAGTTTAGGTTGTCTAATAGACCTTAATTACATTGTCAACAGAGTTTTAAATCAAACATGCTATTATTCTAATTTAGACATCCTATAAATTTAAGGTTACAATCTAGTCAATTTCTATTCTCTGTCAACTTGGGAAAATGAAACAAAGTTTGAATTTCCTTATTCATTCTCTCACTTAGATCTCTAATGAATCTTTCCTGCCTGCATGCTTAGTCCCTTCAGTTATATCCGACTCTATGCACTGTAGCCAACTAGGCTGCTCTGTCCATGGGATTCTCAGGCAAGAACGCTGGAGTGGGTGGCTATGCCCTCCTGCAGGGGATCTTCCTGACCCAGGGATCAAACCCGTGTCTCCTGTTTCTTCTGTATTACCAGCAGATTCTTTACTGCTGAGTCACTGGGGAAGCCCTAATCTTTCCTATCAGGTAGCAGTAAACACTAGCCAAAGGACTTGTGGACTCAGCTGTTTTGGAACGCCCTCAGTACCGGGTCATTGAGCCACACAAATCTTCATGTCTATTAACACTCTGAAATTAGAGTCAAAAGATGTCACGGAAGTTGATGAGGCAAAAACAAATAATATAAATATAAATAATCAGATTTAGATGAAAATCCTTCCAACTGGAAATGCTTTTTTTCTCAGAGATATTTCATTATACTATCACAAGAATATAATTATTTAATAATTTTCATGAAATTCATAGGTCATTATGCCAAAGATATCAGAATGCAAAAATAAAACAAAACCCCAAAATAAACAACCAGTGTTATCCAGCAGATTTTAAAAGTTGTATTTTTTTAATAAAGCAAAAGAAATCAAGAGGTGAGAAAAGGACTTGAGGCTCATGAATGCTACATGCCCTTTTCTTGACACTTGGAGAAAATGATAGAGAGGTCAAAGGTCAAAGGGGAAAGAACTCATCAATATATTACTTACTTCTTTATATCCAAAGATGATGCGTCCGTCCATGAGGAGGGTTGCTTGGAATGTGAAGCTTCCCAGGTTGTAATTATCCTGGAGATGTACATGGTCCCATTGGACAACAAGTGCTGTGCCTATAAACCACATTGGAACAGAAGAAATGCGATGAGAAAAATAAATCAATCAGTTCTGGTGGGAATCTTCACAAAAGCATGGATCTTACTTTCTCATCTAGTAGTTGTGCTACTTGAATTGTATATAGTTAACTGGAATTCTGTTACTGAAATAGCATTTGGGATATTAATAAAAATTGGGTATTTTCTCAATCTAACCTCATACTGAGGTTAATATTGAGCCCAGTATGGGGGAATTTTGCCTTAGGAAGTCCATTAATGTTAATGGGTTTACTGTCTGCTTAAATTTCCATGAGTCACTTTCAAAATGCGACCCAAGTGACTTGAATGAACTTCAAATACATCTGACAAATGCTGAGAGAGAAAGGAACACATTCAGGGAAGCTAGCATCACTTATAACAGATTTGAAGATGTCTCTTCCATATTTAGAATTATACTCTTCCATGCTGAAGAAATTTCTGTAACACTAATGGGAATTTTCTTCTTTAATTCACAATGCCTGCATTTCTGTCTTTGTAGTATTGCTTCTAGAAGGTTGCAAGGTAGCTTTAAGTTTCCCAGGCTAAGATTTCTGAAGCCCCCTTGAAGTACACTGGGATGAATCTTCAGTGCTGTATACCACAGTCTGATAAGTCAATCTGCCAATGTTTACTATACAATTATTAACATGAAATATTAATTGAAACACAGCTTAATAAGCCACCAATGAGACAACAAGGATGAATCTGGAGGGGCATTAAGCTAAGTGAAATAAGCCAAAAAGAGAAAGAGAAAAACTACATGGTATCACGTTCATGTGAAATCTTAAAACAAAGCAGGGACTAGAGTCTGGGGGAAACAGAGATGCTAACAAAAAGATACCAACTTTTATTTCTATAACAAATCAGGTCTGAGGATCTTATGTATTACACAGGGACTACAGTGTCTGACACTGGAGGTTATGTGTGCGCGCCCAGTAGCTTCAGTCATGTCCGATTCTGCAACTCCATGGACTGTAGCCTTCCAGGTTCCTCCGTCCATGGGATTCAACTCTAGGCAAGAATACTGGAGTAGATAGCCATTCCCTTTTCCAGGGGAATCTTCCTGACCCATAGATCTAACCCCTGTTGTCTGCATTACAGGTGGATTTTTTACTGTTGAACCACAGGGGAAGCCCAACACTGTATAATATAACCAAAGTTTACTGAGAATAAAACCTAAAGAGTTCACATCAGAAAAACAAAAGGTACATATGTGAGGGGATGAATATGTTAGTTAATTTGATGATAGAAATTCTTTTCCAATGTATACATATATCAAATTATCACACTGTACACTTTAAATACAGAAAAATATGTTTCTTTAAGGTAAAACTTTGTAAGTAAAAAAATTATTTTTGACTTTTACCTTGGTACGTTTAGTCATAAGCAGCACCTAAGACATACCCCTGTTTTAAGTGAAAACCCATGTCTCTTCCTTTCATGGGCATCTCTGTATCTCTACTACTATTTTTTTTTAACTGGAAAAGGCAAGAGGACAATAATAGCCAGGAAATTTTCCATAATTGTAGAAGTAAAAGGGTCTTCTGATCATGAAATGCCTCTTAGCAACTGCTTCTTTTCCTCCACACGTGTCCACATCTTTCAAGATCTGGTCTCCTCCTGATTCCTATCCTCGCTAATTTCTATCTTCACTAACTTCAGTCAGCACTTTGATGGTGCAGAGAAAACACCGAATTGGCAGGCAGATGATCTAGACTTGCGTCCTGCCTCTAAAACTTTGTGTGTGACCTTGGACACAAACTGCTTGAACCTGTATCTTCTACAACATGGAAAGAATAATTTTTGCTTTCTAGAGACTTCTGCCTTCAGCTCCCAAATCCATAGTTTCTGCAAATTCTTGTGCATAAAAGAGGTCTACCTCTTTTAGAGTAATTAAATGTTTTTAATGCAAATTCTGATGACGATATTCTCCATGTATTATTATAGCAGGCTTTTAAAAATAACACTAAAATGTGCGAAAAAGTTTTATATTATGTCCTATTATAGCTCCTCCAATATTTGTTAATTTAAGTGGTTCTACCAGTAAGATTGCTACTGTTTAGTTGCTAAATAGTGTCTGACTCTGTGACTCCATGGAATGTAGCCCACCAGGCTCCTCTGTCCATGGAATTCTCCAGGCAAGAATACTGGAGTGGGTTGCCATCTCCTCCGTGTGATCTTCTTGGCCCAGGGATCGAACCCCTGTCTGCTGTCTCTCCTGCATTAGCAGGTGGATTCTTTACCACTTAGCCACAAGAGAAGCCCACTAGTAAGATTAGTTGAATGTAAATATTATCCTTAAATTTTAAAAATTACCTACATATTTTTATTTTGTTTTATGAAATAATCAATATTTCAAGTTTCACCTTTTATTAAATCTAAAACCCTATAGTCTGCAGGTTAGTGAGAGCAGCTTCTAGAGGTACAATCTTATATTTCTCTCAGCAGATAATGATCACATATTGCTCTCAAGGTAGCACCTAACACAGGAAGCAATTACATAAGTGAATCAAAAAACATTTTCTTTGGTCAGCTACGATGTAGGAGAATAATCTGTCAAGAGCAAACCTTGGACTCAAGCACGGAATTTACCAAAGAGCTGGGTTAGAGTGGGGCATCTCTTGGCCTATGACTGACAATCAGATGTTGTTTCTCTGACGATGGACACAAAGTCTAAGGGCACAGTTCCTCCTGGTGGAGCTGAAGTTGTTATTGAAGCTCATGGAACAGACCGCATGAGCTGCTGCACCATCCTATGTGCTTACTGAAGCTGAGCAGCTGGGACTTAGTACCACTAGGGTGATCATACTTTCTGATCAGTAGTGGATGCCAATTTTTTAATCTCCAAAATAAAAACAGGCAAGTAGGCTGATCTAGGGGCATTTAAGGTCACTGTTAACTCCAAATTTTCTGATTCTGTGTTTGATTAGGTTTATGATTTTGGTAAGAATTATGCTTCTAATCTGTTATTTATGAGCCATCAAATTATTTTTCTAATAAAAGATTTAGTTTTATAACTTTTCTAGTTCTTGTGCATTAATATTCTGTGACTTCCTTACACTCCAGTAGTTATCTAGGCTGGCTATCATATCTGGAAGCATCGTTTGGTTTTTAAAACCTAGTGCTTTAATACTTGCAGAAATTTTATCTTAGAAGAAATGTTCTAAACTGCTGCTGTCTCCTTTAGAGAAGTTTTGCTTTCCTAAAATGTTGAGTTTCCCATCCTTAAGCACTCCTTCAATGATCCTAACCAATCAGAGTTGGAAATATTTCAGTAAGTTGCTCTGGTATGAAAGGACTTTGTGAAGATCCTTACAGTATTGAGAAGTACTTCTATCATTTAATAAAACACAGAAATAACTAGCTCTTATTATGATAAGAACTCAATATTCCCATTTATTACTACACAGAAGATATTTCAATAAAGTAAAAATACAACTGTTCTTGAGTATTTGTATTTTCACAACTCTCAGAATTAAAAATCATTTTAAATACTTATTTTTTTTCATTTATTCATTCATTGCATAATTATCAAGGACCTACTGTGTATTGAGTTCTTGTGCCAGGTATGCAAGAGAAAATCATTTCTTATAAATAGTCACTGCCCTTTAGAATCCAGTTGAAGTGGCACATATCAATTTTTCAAAATCATTTTAATAAAAGTAAAATTAAAATATGGAGCTACTTAGGCACAAGGTATGTGAGAGAGTGTATGGGGAAGGAGACAATATGTTTTATGATTTTGATGTCAATGATATAAAAACTTGATTATCAGAAGCTTGTGTCCATGACTAAATGTCCCCAACATAATCTAGTAAGTGACAGAGCTTGGAAAATACTCAACTTTCCTAACTACTTAGGGTCGATTCCTTAGGTGATTCAGGAGATAAACTTCGGATAAGTTGCTCACTGTAGCTCTGTCTAAAGTATACTTAAAATCTGCTTGTATATCTCTGACCCTTTGTACCTCAATTTTCTTTAAGTGGGAGGACAGACTATAACAGTTCTTAAAATAATAGAAGGAAATAATTATTATGGTTAACATTTAGAGTTAACTTCATGTATTGGAGCACACTTTGGTGTTATTCAAATTGTTTGAAATCTATTTTTCAAAGTGCACATCTGAATGTGTTTAGTTGTCTTCCTCTTTTGCTATTTTGACTTGTAAAATGGCTTTATCACACTGGTCAGATCTCTTTCAGCAAAGTGATGTCATTTTCCCAAAGCGGAGGTCGTCAGTAAGTCTATGCTACCCTATGGTAAATTTCTCCCTTGGTCATTAAGGCAAGACAAGAGGAGAAGTAACTCTGTTCAGGCCACATGTTTCTATTTTTTAAAAGATGATTCTCATTTGGGCAAATAAATACTATTTTTGTATTATAAAGAATACAGAAATTTCTATTTTTAAGTTTCCCAAACAAACACTCTTTTCCTACAATTTTTCTATCATAGTTAGAGCCTTCACTAACATGTAGACATGAAAATTCACTTATGTTTTTAGGAACATAAATTTTTTACTTAGGTTTGGGGGCATTTAGTGACATATTCTACATATTCCTTGACTATTTTGTGTGTTCCCCTAAAGAAGTAGTAGGGATAGACTGTTGTCAGTATATACAATAAAACTTAACAGCTCTATTTCATATTGCAAAGTCAGGAAACCTTTTTCCTTAAGTGAATTTTGTTGTTTAGTTGCTGAGTTGTGTCTGACTCTCTTGCAACCCCACGGACTGTAGCTGTTAGGCTCCTCTGTCCATGGGATTTCTTTACTGGACTGGGCTGCCATTTCCTTCTCTAGAGGATCTTCCCAACCCAGGGATCAAACTCATGTCAACTTGGCAGGTGGATTCTTTACCACTGAGCCATCTGCGAAGGCCAAGCGAATTTTAATTACTCACTATCCTATATTTTCTGGAGAAGGCAATGGCACCCCACTCCAGTACTCTTGCCTGGAAAATCCCATGGACGGAGCAGCCTGGTGGGCTTCAGTCAAATGGGGTTGCGAAGAGTCGGACCCGACTGAGTGACTTCACTACTACACTATCCTGTATTTTCAAAACATACAAATAGTTTATAAGTTTTAGAAATTTAATATCAATATATTACGCCACTTGGCTCTACCTAAAAATCAGAACTAAAATTTTTCCTTATTTACCTCTTTATAATAGGAAGGACTTATTTCAAATAGCATCAAATAAATGTGTTTGCTTTGTTCAAAATAATGTTTGCGGCAAATCATTTATTATATTCCCTGCTGCTGCTGCTAAGTCACCTCAGTCGTGTCTGACTCTGTGCGACCCCATAGATGGCAGCCCACCAGGCTCCCCCGTCCCTGGGATTCTCCAGGCAAGAACACTGGAGTGGGTTGCCAGTCCCTTCTCCAATGCATGAAAGTGAGAAGTGAAAGTGAAGTCGCTCAGTCGTGTCCGACTCTTAGCGACCCCATGGACTGCAGCCTACCAGGCTCCTCCATCCATGGGATTTTCCAGGGAAGAGTACTTATATTCCCTAATACATGTTAATAAATGTTTGTTAAATGAGCAAATGAAAGAATGAATACATGAGTGACATTTAACCATGTACTTTATCCACTTATTGTAGTATTAATAGGTGCAGTATAACGTTTGTTACCTCAGGCTATTTGCATCAAACAGTTAACAAATCCAGTCTAAACCCACGATTACAAAAATATTCATATGAATCTGATGATCAGTGTTTATAAGTATACATTCAGCAAAACATAGGCTAGCCAACACATACCGTTATCAAAATATCTGACAGTTGAATTTCTGGATACGCTGGGGTCAAAGTTTGCCATTAAAGGTGCTATGTACTGTGTGGCAGTTAGCATTCGGTGAACAACTTCTCCAGTGTATATGAAACCTGTAATTAGGAAAACAGGAACTTGTTAGGAAAAAAATAATATTTTGATTAAGATACCTCAACTCAACTTCCGTTACATTTTGGAAAAAAAAAATCACAGTAGTTGAAAAAAAGAAACATAATTAATATCCTAATATCTGATCAACATAGTTGAGTCTGGATTAAGTGACAAATTCTCATATAATATGGTAGCAGAACAGTAATCAGAAACCTACTACATGTACAATTTTAACTGTGGGAAAGTGACTACGATCCAGAGAGATTACTAGGCTGAAAAGGCTAGTATAGTACTGTAAGTCATCCAAACATTAAATTTGCCTCTAGTAATCCCTTGTTATTTCTACACTAGTCAAACAGGTAAGTTCCATTTACAAATGAATGTATTCTCATGATGTTCCGTTATGCATTCTTAATCTCAGTTTAGGACATTTTAGGATTCATACCTACATATATTTAATACTAAAATGCAGAAAGTATTTTGAACCATCTATTCAAAGTTGAAAGGAGGCTAAGCACTCATGACTAAACTTCACATTTCTCAGATTGCTCAAGTAGCACATCAAGGAGTTAGTCTATATGTTTGCAGATAAGATGGCAAACCATTGATAATGCACAAATACCTCTCTGTTTAGAGAGTTGTTGATGCCAGCCTATTCCAGCTACTGGATAACAAGAGGGAATTTACTATGGAGAACTTTATCTTGAATTAAATTTCAATAGCTCCCATGTTAAAACTCTACCCACTTTCAATTATTCACACTGGGTTTATTTACTTTGTGGATTATCCATGACAAATTGTTAATCCTATACTGGCTTCTTGCCTCCAAGGTATTTAGCTGCTTAAAAGGAGAGTCAGATCAGGGAATACTAATTTCTAATATTAAACTAGGAAGTGCACAATTAAGAACATATAAAAACATACATATACACACATTATTACAAAATAAAATTCAAAGCAAGTTATTTGTGACAATGCAATTGTAATGTTTAGGTAATCATAAGTTAACTACATATCTAGGGTTACTATAGATCATTTTTCTATTAATATTTTCATAAGAATTAATTTTAGAAAAAGCAGAATTTTTAAAAAACCCACAAAGTTATGCTGAATTTAAACTCCTAAAAGTGTAAAACTTTTATCTCACTTCATGGTCTGAATAAAGCTTTCATTAGCATATCATGGCCCTCATTGTTTCAAATTCTCTATTGCAATTTCTAGTAAGTTATTGGAGAATTAAATCTGTAGTTTTGTTATTGTTGTTTAGTTGCTAAGTCTTGTCCAACTTTTGTGAGATGCCATGGCCTGTAGCCCACCGGGCTCCTCTGTCCATGGAATTTTCCAGGCAAGAATACCAGAGTGGGTAGCCATTTCCTTCTCCAGAGGATCTACCTGACCCAGAGATCAAACTCCAGTCTCCTGCATTGGCAGGCAGATTCTTTACCACTGAGACACCAGGGAAGCCCCAAATCTGTAGTTATTCACTTTGAAATCAATTTCTGTCTTTCCAGCAGGGTCTTCTTTCCTTTGACTTCCTTTTTATTTTTCACCAAACGCATAATTTAATCATAGCTATTCAGCTTTTAAAAAGATACTTAAACTGGTAAAATCTTTAGCATGTTATAGTCATCAATTACTCTTTGTTTCACATTCAACAACAAAAAATATCTTTCAGAATAAATTCCCAGTGTCTTGAGCAGAACTTTGTAATTTGCTATTTCACATAGCTCAAGTGTACTAAAAGATGACAATAGGGTGAAACAGTCATTGCTTTTATTTGATTTCCCTGTAGATTCTCAGAGTCATGCTCTGTGTTCAAAGTCCAACATCACATCCTTAAAATTATAAAGATGAAGAATGACTATTTTTCAGGGTCTGTGATTTTTTTCTCTTATCCTCACCAGTGTGCCTTTTATAATTTCACCATTAAAAGGGATACAACAATTCTATAAATATAATCTTTTAAGGAAAAGATTGATTTACACTCTGAAAGTGTTCTTTCAAGGTCAATATCCCCAGATAGTTATTCCTCTACTTTAAATTTTCCATGTACTAATAAGAGAAACTGATTGATTTAAAGAATAAGGAGAGTAGCAGTTCAAAGCAGTAAGATAATTTTAAATCAATACAATATTTATTCACTGAAACAACTGCAGTAAGAAATTGCAGCAGCAATTCCTGAAAACAGAATTGAAAAATGCAGTCACAAAAGATTTCAGATACATCATTCTCACTATTAGTTTTTAAAATAAATAAGATTACACTTATTTTTATAGATTTCCCAAAACGTTAGTTTTCAGATCATGAGAATCACTCTCTCTTGCTTCCTCTCTTCAGGAAAAAGTTTTCCAGGACTAGAATTTCTCAGATTTCAAAGGTGCAAACTGTTCCCAAAGAACTAAGTGAAAAGATGAAAGAATTTGCTAATGTGCAAAAGCTATATTTACAATAACATTAAACTATAGGAGTATTACAATTGCTACAACTTCTACTAACAAGAAGAGAAGTGAAGCTGCTCAGTCATGTGCGATTCTTTGCGATTATAAGGACTGTAACCTAGCAGGCTCCTCTGTCCATGGCATCTTCTAGGCAAGAGTACTGGAGTGGGTTGTCATTTCCTTCTCCAGGGGATCTTCCTGACCCAGGGATCAAACCCAGGTCTCCTGCATTGCAGGCGGACACTTTACCCTCTGAGCCACCAGAGTAGACCCACTAAGAAGAAGCTGCTACTATAATTACTAGCACATCTGCCACTATGATTAATCTGCTGCCACTATTACCATTAATACCACTACCACCAAGATTAATGTGAAAAACCATTCAAGGATAACTCTACACAATTAGTTTAATTTTACTAATTCAGAGAATATTTGTTTTCTTTAGTCATATGAAACCTAATTCCTCCATTATCTTAGGTTAGTTCTTAATGACTATAAAGTAAAATGCTTGATTGTAGCCATGGGCCCTACTGAGTTCTCCTTACATTCCTGTTTTTAAAATATCATTTCAGCAATGATTAATAACTGAGTGGAGAGAAACCTTCCAGGCCTGCTGAGAGCAGGGAGGGAAGTGTAATCAGGTGTTGAATAAGAATCAGCTATGCAAAGTAAAGCATCCTTTATTTGAATAAATGCTTTCCAAATCTTCAAAAGCACTCATAGTTACCTATAACCCATTTAGACATTTGTCTCTTTTCTTTAGTTGTCTAGAGCATGTCCAGTTGTACAGAAAAAATATTTCATTTTTCTGGTCCTTCACGTTTTAAGGTAATTTAGGTAACATATATTTACTGTTTTTAATTTTTTTTTATTTTCAAGCTTGGTTGTACCCACTTGAAAGGCTAATCACAAAATGTCTCTTTTACTCATTACATGCTTCTAGCTTAAATAGAATTTATCTACCTGGTCATAAGATTTGTAGAAAAGTGGTTATTACTGAGGTAATGTGTAAGTCAGTGATACTTTCACTTAAAAAGTCCAAATAAGAGAAGCAAATGTGTTTTGATTTTTGAATTTCAACAGTCACACACTTCTCTTGCCTTCATTACTAAACCTAAAGTTCTGAGCTCACCTATAATTGACAGATTTTCTCTTGCAACTGAAGGATCTACTTGGCTGTTTCTGTAGATGGTCTCTAGTCACTTGAATAATCTATAGTTTTAAATTTGTACACCTCCTCCAGCCTTTGAGAATTCTATCACTGTAAGTCCTGATATGAATAACTCCTACACAGTAATTATATATTTACTAACCATGATTATATATATATATTAACCACAAATATTATTTTGATAATTGTGAGATTAACCAATACCTATATGGTGCAAATTCACTTTAATCGTGTTCTACTCTTTGTGACCCCACAGACTGTAGCCTGTCAGTCTCCTCTGTCCATGGGATTTTACAGGCCAGAATACTGGAGTAGGTTGCCATTTCCTTCTCCAGGGGATCTTTCTGACCCAGGGATTGAACCCACATCTCTTACATCTTTGGAATTGACAGGAGGGTTCTTTAGCAGCCCTACCACCGTCCAGGTACCCCTTTCCAATAAAGTCTTGTGCTTTGCCAGTACATGTGTCTTCCTGGACAATTCATTTTAAAATATTAAACAAAAGCCTGCTCTCGGGTCCTGGAAGGGGTCCCCCCTCAGGTAACAGTTTCACTCAGAGCATGGCACACAGAAGGGGCCTGGAAGCTGCACACACACACCCTTCCCCTCCCCTTGCCTTACGCATCTCCTCCATTCAGGAGCTCTGGAGTCGTATCCTTTATAATAAACCAGTGTGAGTGTGAGTGAAAGTCGCTTAGTTGTGTCTGACTTTTTGCAAACCCCATGGACTATAGCCTGCCAGGCTCCTTTGTTCATGGAATTCTCCAGACAAGAATACTGGAATGGGTAGCTGTTCCCTTCTCCTAGGGATCTTCCCAACCCAGGGATCAAAACCAGGTCTCCCGCATTGCAGCAGATTCCTCACCATCTGAGCCACTGGGGAAGCCCAAGAATACTGCAGTGTGTAGCCTATTCCTTCTCCAGGGGATCTTCCCAACCCAGGAATCAATCCAGGGTTTTCTGCATTCCAGGCGGATTCTTTACCAGCTGAGCTACCAGGGAATCTCCAATACCTATATGCATATGTGCTAAGTCTCTTCAGTTGTGTCCGACTTTTTGCAACCCTATGGATTTTGCAACCCTATGGACTGTAGTCTGCCAGGCTCCTCAGTCCATAGAGATTCTCCAGGCAAGAATACTGGAGTGGGTTGCCATGCCCTCTTCCAGCGGATCTTCCTGACCCAGGGATTGAACCTGTGTATCCTATGGCTCCTGCAGTGAAGGCGGATTCTTTACCACTGAGCTACCAGGGAAGACACCAATACCTATATGGGCCTTAACAATTACATTATTTTCATATATTCTCTTCAATGTATCCTTATAATAACTTTGAAGGGAATTACATTATTGATTTTGTTGTTGTTTAATCACTGAATCGTGTCTGACTCTTCGC